TAGGTTCATTTCTGGGTTTTCAAGTCTATTCCATTGGTCCTGGGGTCTGTTCTTGTGCCAGTACCAAGCTGTTTTGATTACTATGGCTTTGTAGTAGAGTTTGAAATTTGGTATTGATATTCCTCCAGCACTATTCTGTCTGTTAAGGATCATTTTTGCTATTTGGGGTCTTTTATAGAGCTCCCCTACCACCCGGTAATCCCACTTTTGGGCATTTACCCAAATGATCACAAACAAGACCACACTAAAGCTACCAGCACGACTATGTTTATTGCAGCATTATTTACCATAGCTAAGATATGGAACCAACACAGATGCCACTCAGTAGATAAATGATCAAGAAAATGTGGTGTATATACACAATGGAATTCTATGCCTCCATCAGAAAGAATAACATTGCTTCATTTGTTAGGAAATGGAAAGACTTGGAAAAAAATTATATTAAGTGAAGTAAGCCAGGCCCAAAGAAACATAGGTCCCATGGTTTCTCTTATTTGTAATATGTAGTATATGTCTGAGTCAAGCAGAAAAGGTCAGATAGGGTGATGTTAGGGGAATGAACCCCAAGGTAAGTATTCAAATTTTTTTGTTTTTTTCCTTTCATGCAATTGTTTCTATCATATTTAAGATGATTTCTATGTTGCTTTGTGTGTCCCTCCCCCCCACAGTATAACCCATACTTTCACTGTTTTTGATGTTGGTATAATTTGTGGAGGGGAAGGGAAAAAAACAAATCGTTTAACTAGAGATACAGGTGGACCCATTGCAACAATGAGATGTAGAAGTCGTTATCTCAAAAAAGGAACTTAACAACTTTGGTGTGAGGTGGGGGGGAGGATCAGGTTGGGGGTGGGGAGGAGTATGGGAAGGGACGGGAAGGGAAACAATGAGGAGGCAACAATGCTTGATAAGAAATGTACTCGTTATCTTGCCCATGTAATCGTACCTCCTCTGTACGGTATTCTCACAATAAAAAAATTAAAAATTAAAAAAAAAGACTTCAAAAGATTCAACCTCTCAAAAAGTGGCTTCTCCATTTTCTGTACAGTAAAATAACTTTAAAAATTGAAAAACAAGAAATGTACTCATTATCTTGCCCATGTAATTGTAACCCCTCTGTACAGTATTTTCACAAAAAAAAAAAAAGAACTAGAAATCTGAGGCATCCCTGCATAATGTTTGCATCTCATAACTCTTAACATGGAACTCTAGGGAATTTTTCCAAATTAACATGAAAATAAACTCACAGGAATAGGGAGCTAACTAGGGATAAGACATAATTAAAACATTGAGTCTCTTGCATCTAAATGGAATTTTCCAATTTGCTGTAGGAATTCTGTGATTCTTAAAGCCCAGTGGAGGCTCTATGTTTAGTAAATACGTCTTCTTGGTGTTTCTTTTTAAAAACAAATGAGGATGGAACAAATTACTACTAAATAAATAATTTTAGACTTTAACAAAATTTCATTGGCATGCAAAGTCCCAAATTGGAGGCTGGGCTGGGGAACAGAGAAAAAGGAATCATAAAAATGGTCCTTGTATGTGCAAGATGAAGAGATCCAAAGAGGGCAGGAATGCGGCACAGCGGACCCGCTGGAGAGAGGAGCTGGCTGACACTGGCCTTAACTTAGCACATTCCACTCCCACGTTGTGTACATTTAACTCTTGATTTAAACCTTCCAGCTAATCAGTAGAAAGTTTCTGGCTGGGTCTTTGCGCTGCCCAATGCCCTTCATCATCTCCTGGGGATCAACACTTCACTCTGCTAAAGGAAGTTGCATGGATCAAGACCAAGGTCTAAAATGCTGCATGGCTTCTGGTTGTTGGCGCTGAAATAATAATGTAAATAGACACAATGACTTGAAGGACATGAGTACAAATTTTTTTCCCCCACCACTGGTTTAAGAGTGTTTAGGAATATAGAAAACAATTGAGACAAAAACAGAGCTTACTGGAATCAAAGTAGGAGCCAGGAAACAGGATTTACTGGAACTGGAGTGGAGTCAGACACTGTCGAAACAAGAGTCCATGTTGGATGTCAGAGAGAAAGCAGTCCATGTTTACGCCAACCTGACAGCCCTGTGCTACACACCTCGCACAGTAACTTACTCCTCACCCCACACTATGAGGTCGGTTCTGTTACTGGCCAAATCTCGTGCACTGAGAAGTAGAGTAACTTGCCCAAGATCATGAAGCTATCAATGTGTTCTGCAGCAAGAGGACAAAGCTTTTTTCCACTATAGTATGACAACGCTTGTGCAGCTGTTTACAATTTCTTAGGTTATTTCGTTTCTAAGTGGAATAGTTACAAAGTCACATGTTTCTCAGCAAAGAAGTGAAGCTTAGAAAACTAGATTCTTATAGGTAAGGCAGTGTTAGGGAGCAATGGAAGATGTGACAGCTAGAACTCCTAAATTGAAGATATTGCTCTCTAGCTGTGTGTGTTTGGATAGGTCACACAACTTCTCTGAGCTTTAGTCTTCTCATCTGTACATATTACATCAGAATTGTTTTGGTGTAATATATGTAAACAATTATTCCCTACATCTTTGGTAATATGACTATCACTTTAGGTCTTTTATTTTTTGGCCAGGAGGGACTTGAACTCAGGGCCTGGGCTCTGCCCCTGCGTAAGCACAAAGTGAGCCCCAGTGCCACCTTTGAGTCATAGTGGCACTTCTGGCTTTTTCTAAGTAGTTTCTTGGAAATAAGAGTCTCATGAACTTTTCTGCCCGGGCTGGCTTCAACCATGAACCTCAATCTCAGCCTCCTGAGTAGCTAGGATTACAGGCATGAGCCACTAGGGTCCAGCTCCCCTTGAGACTTTGTTACTCAGCAATAAAACCAGATCTCTGACACAAAGGGTCTCTTTTGTCCACTGGCTCCGTAGGCTCGACTGCCTGAATATTTTCATAACAAGAACTGCTCCTTGTTGTTATGGACAGTGAACACGCTGACTCCTTGTTTGATCACTGCTTGCTGTAGGTGGGTCTTCCTTGAGCTCCACATCCCATTTCCACCTGATGCTTGCCGACGTGAACGACAACCCGCCGCGCCTAGCCAGGGACTACACCGGCTTGTTCTTCTGCCATCCCGTCTCTGCCCCAGGAAGTCTCATTTTTGAGGCCACTGATGATGATCAGCAGGCATTTCGGGGCCCCCAGTTTACATTTGGCCTGGGCAGCGAAAGCTCACAAAGGGACTGGGAAGTTTCCAAAATCAATGGTGAGTTGTCAGATGCACCCTGCGAACAATGATGGGTGGCGCATCAGGTTTTATGGTCTTTGTGGGCTTTTAGAACTCAACCACAGCTTTCGCACACGTTCCAGGAAATCCATCTTCAGAAACTCACAACGTCTGCCACGGGGACAAAACTATAGGCTTTGGGGGAAGGAAAGATGGTTAACATATAGCATCCTGTGTAGCATAGGTGTCTACATGTACTAAAATTATGTAGGTTTTTCTGTGTTGTCTGAAGAGTTTCTATTTTGTTTTGCTTTATTATTATTATTATTAAAGTAGTTGTACAAAGGAGTTGCCATTCAACAAAGCAGTTTTTGAATACATTGAGTCTTGATTAACGTTACTCCTTTCGGCATTCTCATCCACCCCTCCCAACCCACCCCCTCCTTCATTCCTTTCATTTCAAATTGTCTTGGCAACATTGGTGAAAACCATGTGATAATGTATACAGGGATGTACTTCTGAACTTTCTGCTTCATTGGTCTTTGTCTTCATTCTAACACTACACTGTCTTGATTACTATAGCTCTATGGTAAGATTTGGTTTTAGGTGGTGTGATTTTTTCCAAATTTGTTCTCTTTCTTTCTGTCTTTCTTTCCTTCTTCCTTTCTTTCACTCGCTTGCTTTCTTTCACTCACTTGCTTGCCTTCCTTCCTTCCTTCCTTCCCTTTTCTCTTTCTTTCTTTCTTTCCTTTCTTTCTTTCTTTCTTTCCTTTCTTTCTTTCTTTCTTTCTTTCTTTCTTTCTTTCTTTCTTTCTTTCTTTCTTTCTTTCTTTCTTTCTTTCTTTCTTTCTTTCTTTCTTTCTT